TGTCCCGTGCTACCTTTGGAATCATCTTTACATGTATCTTCATATACAAGCGCACAACATTCTATTATCTTCTTAACAGTTTCATTACATTTTTCATTAATTAGGTTTTCCCTATCATGGTTAAGTATTTCGTCAAAATTTTCAGTTTCATGAAAAGGCATTTCACCGAAACTATCAGTAGCAATGTTTACATTTTTACATTCAAAATTAAACTTTCTTTTATCATCTCCCCTTAACTCATTAAAAGAACTTAACGACAAGAGTAAATCATTACATAACTTATCCACCATTGCACATGTTATAAAAATAGGTGATATAAATTTATCATTTTCAGAATATTACTAAAGGTAGGTTAATGAGAAGAGCTTTTAAAGCTTGCCCGAAAGCTGACGTGAGGATAACACTTCCATGTGGCGTACGGTATTTTTCTGGTACAATGTCGGCCTTGACAACGGTTAATTGCGTGCCTGTATCTGCTACTGCATTAATTAATTTACCATCACATATAAGTTTAACGGTTGGCAAGTCATCTATTAATTCTTTAACTTCTTGATTCGCAGTAAAATATTTAGAAGAAATCTTTGCAGTTACGGCGTTAGAATTATTCTTAATTTCTTCTTTAGCAACCCTTTCCTTATCTTCATGCAACAATATATTATGATACTTAGAATTACATTTTGAACATTTTAATTGAGAAGGGCAATTTTTTATTCTACAATTCCTTTTCGAAACAAAGAAAGCACCGATTAGAAGCCCTTAAACTCTTTTTTTCCTTTCTTCCGGAGACATAACGCATTTTTCCGAAAGCATGATTTTCGCTTTCGCAAAATAAGCAAGGGAAACGTTCGAACAACTGCAATTTTGCTTACATTAGGGGAATAGCTGGCGCCAAATTTGTTGGCGTTGAATGAATTCCGAGTGTGGAAGTTGTTTCGCTTTTCATTTGGTTGTGAATGCCTTCCAAGAGAATTAGCGTGACTCTTAGAATAAAATAAATTTAATGAAGTTCGTTCGCGACTTTCAATTTCCCGTTTTAGAAATTTCATGAGGTTGTCGACATTAAAAGTTTCCTCATCTGTGTTTTGACGAGCAAAATCAAGCGTTATATCCTGAGGTATGCATTTCATTAACAAAGGGTATAGTAAACTTTCCATACGATTCGGTCTTTTGACCCCTATCGAATTTAGTGACCTTACTTGTACGTTGCAGGTATCATATAATTCCCTCAAAGAATTAATGTCATTAGAACTTCGGACAGGCCGTAAATTTAAAAGTTTATGCATGTAAGAATTAATAAGGAGATCTTTTCGACCATACCTCTCTTTGAGAATTTTAAAAGCTTCGTCGTAGTTTTCTGGAGATAAAGAAAAGCCTTCTATTGTTTTTAAAGCTAACAGGCACCACCTAACAGGCTAAGCAAGTAATTAAACTTATCTACTTTAGATAGTTTTTCGTTTTGATTTATTGCCGTGTCAAAAGAATTGTAAAATGTCTGCCACATTTCAGCATTCCCATAAAATTTATCAATCATAATCTTTGGCAATTTAACATTATAATCAGAACTTTTATCGACACCAGAAAATAGATAAATTGTTGCTATCATTAGAAGAACCATTAGAAACTAGCGAATTATTGCTATCTCTTTTTTCTTTCAATAATTTTGTGCCTCTAAAGCTCCATTTCGCAATTTTTTCTTCGTATTCCAAGGCATTTTCGATTTCGGTTTCAATGTCATTAACATCAGTCAAAGTTTTAATTTTTTCGTCTAACGCTCTCAAAGAAATAGCTTTTACTTTTAAAATTTCCAGTGATTCTTCAAGGTCTTCAAGGTTACCTGCTGCAATTAATGATTCAAATAGCATTTTTTTACTTTAGTAATGGCTGAACGAATAACTTTCCGTTCTTTCTTAGATTTCGTTAGCTCTTCAGCCATTTTTGTAACCTTGAATTCCACTTTACCACAAACTAAATTGAACAAATTTCTTACCTTTCTGAAGACTCAATTACGCATTTATCCGTGAACTTTGCAGAATGACATATCCTCCTGTTCTGACACCACTGTCATATCCTTCTTTTTCTTGGGCGTGTAGATTCTGGATATGTATTTAATTCCTACCGTAGACGTATCGTATTGTGTGCGTTGCATAAAACAGCCATTTTAACGGCACAAAATTTTATTAACACACAAATAAAAATAATAAGTACAAACGATTAACACACAAGTATAACTTCGTATTTTGCATCTAAGCTGACATACAACACGTTTCCTTCGTTACTTCGCTACTACCTACTAACTACTCTTCTCTAGTAAGTCTCATGAGAGAGAGGCGTTGCAGGCCGTTCGGCTCAACTGCGCATGCGTGGTCATCACGTCATGACACCGATCTTACCTCGATCGAGAATGTGTGGGTTATTATGTCTCGGAAAGTTTAAGAGAATGGGAGACAGTTTTCTTCCATGAGTGCCTTAAAAGCAGTCATCGAGAGTGCATGGTACAGTGTGGAACCAGACTTGTAACAAGACTTAGTTCTCCCGATGGAGAAACTCATATTCGACGTCATACGGATTAATGGGGCAACTTTGAAGTATTAAGTAATTTGAAACACTGACCACAAGCTGTTAAAACGTTCATATTATATAAACTTTTAGGACACATATTCTTCTCTGTTTTTATTTTTTTCTAAAATACAAATTGCTGTTTTAGTTGAATATTTACTGGAATGCAAATCGCATGTGATGTAAATAAATAGATTTTTATTTAGTGTTTGTATACCTTTCCATTTTTCTAAAACACGTAATATACTTGAGTCTATAAACTTTTGGTACAGAGTGTATATATTATTTACATAGTACTCGTACAACCTCACTGTTGACTAGCTTCTTAACTGGCACCCCTGTTTAGCTACGTGACTTAGCTGCGTTACGTGTCACTATACTAGATTCTTATCTTTAAGACCACATGCTCAATCTCCAAAGAACGTGTTTAGAAGTTCACGAGCTTTGGGTATCCAAAATAATTTCTTTTACTGAAAGACTGCTCGAGGTTGATTCAGTCCTTCTGCATCCTTAGGAACGACAGTACAGAAGCAGTCACTTAAATCTGGCAACGATATGAGCTGTCATGTTTTCACATTTCTGGCAAATGTCTGCTGTTAGAAAAGTTGCACTTTAAGTTACTGAAAACAGTAAATATTACGTCAAGAGAATAGGCATCTATGCACAATACACCTTTCATGCGGTTCCTGGATGCCGAATCTGTGATTAGAAAGTATTGCTAAAGTCTATGAACCACAGAAGAACTCACATTTAGCGATTTGCCTTCTACTGTTTGACTTTGTCCTGCCTCTAGTCTCCCAGTAACTCTCCATCGCAGTTCTTCGGGCAAATGATATGCCTGGAGATCGTTGTTACAAAATGGCTATCCCATATTTCTTATTTCAGTATCACAGAGAAATTTGCAGGCTTCTTCTGAAACATGCAATTTTATTCTCCACGCAGATGACGTATTTCGACTGCAGCGCCACTAATTTGCATACTGCAGTTTCAATCAACAATTTTTATTTGATAACATATTCCAATTTTATACGTATTGGCTTATTTTTGAACGAGTTATCGCTATTTCTCTGCTTTTTTTTCAATTTTTGGATACCAGTGTATTTAGAACAACTTTGCTAGTAGTTTTATCTCTGATAGACGCTCGCATTTTTTTCTCTCATTCTAAATAACTACTGCAATAAATCGCACACTTTTTCAGTTAAATGACTATCAGAATCTCGTATTTCACCATTCAAAGTACCAAATTTAACATCTAAAAACACTTTTTCTGCAACTAGTAAACCCGAGAGCAGATCACAGCAGGGAAATTGTTTTTTCATCATGTTGAATAGTTGCTGCATAACGTTGGTTGTCCAAAATGTTTCTTGGCGTATGATGAGTGCTTACAAAAAATGTACTTCATTTGATTCATGCACTCCAATTAAATGTAACTTTTCAAGGCCTAACAAGTTCAAACATATTTTATGTTTTATTAAAGTTAGACTTGTTCCTTGATATCAAATTGTACCTACATCCAAATGCATGTGCTACATTTTTAAAGGAGCATTTTGACTTTAAACAAAAAGGCAGAAGAAACTTTAGAAGACTTTTTTCTTCCAACAAATACAGCATTAGTTTCCTAAATAGCAACGCAATAGCAACTATTAAAGAAAATAATTTCTGTTTAACTAACTTAATTTCTCCAAATCATGTTTGGTATCAAATTTTAAAACACAATGCAATTGCCGATTAATTTTTGAATTATATATTGTTTCCTCTCAAAACTTTCAGTTGTAATATCTGTGTGGGTTCTAACTGCTTAAGCACTGCAATTTCAGCTTCAATAAGGTGTTACGCCTGATCTGTGTTGTGAATTATCACCATCAGAGTAGCTACTTATCAACTAAACAGACAACAAAGTTAAAACACTTTAAGTTTAATCTGTGTCACCCCTTATGAATGCTTAAAATAAAGTCCCCAGCCAATCTGGACTGGGTTTTAAACCAAAGCTTCCTTTCACAACAAGAATAAATTCATCAAATTAAATCTAATTTATGTAGAAACTGCAAGGCTTCGTAAGAAAATTTCAAATACACACACTTACCAAGCAAGATCTAGCCTTCATCTAACGTAATCCCAACAAAAATGGATTTATCGTCACCTAAAGTCATTTTTTGATGGGCAGGGCAACGTCAGCGGGTCAAAAGTCTTACATTCCTATTCATAAAATTATACACTTTAAAGTAAACCATGATTACCATTCAAAATCTACACAAATTCTGAAATGAGGGAACCTCGTGCCGAAAAGAGGCAGAAAGAAAGAATTAAATTGGTTTTTCATTAGTAAAACTTTAACATAAATGCCACACAGTAAGCTAAATCTTTACATATATTAAATAGATATATTACGAAATATTTCAATGAATTGCTAATTTCTTTTTTTTTTTTTTTTTTTTTTTTTTTAGGTACGAGCTGCGAGAAGATCGCAAACGAGAGACTGCTCGAAATACTGGTCAGATTGATAGTATCAAAAGAGATATTATCCGATCTTTAAGTGGCAGTCAGATGTTGGGGCCGATTACACCCTCTTCGACATCTCCACCACCTATTGATCCTCGCATGACCGTTCGAAGTGTGGATGACGTAACGGCAGATCACGATTCGAGAGATAGGATAGTTGTGCCATCTTTGACGCTATCTAACCATGATATAAATCTCATCAGGAAAGAGGTAGTAATAGGAGTACAAAACGAACTTAAGGCACTTTTGAAAGAACTGCAGTCGCAAAATGCAGTCGCAAATCAAGTAGTTCATCCTCCACCTCATGTTGTACCACCCCATCCTCAACCTGGCGTTAGATTGCACTCTAACCTCCCACCAGCTGTTCCAAATCTGACGTCCGATTTGTATCAAACTCATCTTTTCACACAACTTTAAAAGAAAAAAGAAGAAGGCTTCCTTCTTACACTGATATGCTTGTCTTAACAGATACTGGACGTGGCATTCTTAAAAGCTTTTATTTTCGTTACCTGTAGGAAGCTTTCACTTCTCTCTTAAACATGATCAGCTGTTAACTAATTTTAAACCCTTTTTCCACAATATCTTTCGCTGATAAAACAAAATAAGAAAAATTGAAAAATATACTGCATTAGGAATGAAATGTGAGTCGAATTTTTATCTTAATGCTATTATTTATGAAAACTTTTCTCGTTAAAGTAGATTTAATGAATATACAGTTAGAAAACTTCAGCCTATAAAACTGTTTTTTGATTATTTAATTAACAAAAATATTCC